GGTCCAACAAGTTCCACTCCGCCTCCGCCATCGTCTCTGGTTTGTTCTCAGACAAGGGTAGATGAAGCTTTTTCTGGTAGAGATAATCCTCGATTTGCATCTTCCAGAAAGCAAAATCTTGACCATCAAATTTATCGATCTTAACCTTCCCTTCGTCAGCCATAGCTCTGATACCAGTTGTTAATTATCACGATTAGGCTAAGATAAACGATAAATTTAAAGCAAGAACACAAGAATTTACGTGGTTCACGCAATCGGTGTGATTACGCTAGTCCACGGCGAACGAGAGAGAGATGTATTATTATTCCAGCGTCTGGTATGTTTACAGATACATTAGGGATGTTTAAATAGGTTTAAGAAAGCCTAAATATGGGTTAAGGCCGCAGGCCCAAAAATTAATCCCGTCATTAATTTTTCCCGTATACTCGATCGAGTATACATACATACTCGATCGAGTATAGATTCCAGAATTCTGCCCGAGTAGTGTTTTTACACATACTCGACCGAGTATACCTCCATACTCGATCGAGTATAAACTCCAGAATATAACCCGAGTAACCCTTATACGCATACTCGACCGAGTAATGATCAATACTCGATCGAGTGTAGAAACCAGGGAAATACTCGACCCATCAAACACCTCATACCCGATCGAGTAACCCAACATACCCGATCGGGTATATACTCCTGCATTCCAAACAAGGCTCCATCTTCAACAGAAAAAAGTTCAATTGGTATGCATTAATGTGTGCTCCTTCATTGTTTAAGTAATTGGTTTGAATACTCTCCCTTCAGATCATGCACACAGGAAAAAAGTTTTTGGATATCAATCTAATCAAATATGGAGTAGATAAATAAAAAGAAAATACTCACTAAATGAAAACTTCTTATATAAGCCTACAACATAAATAAAGTGTGCATACAGTACCATCATTATTTAATCGGGTCAAATAAGTCAAATTTCGGAAATAAAATACATGTAGTTCTATTTGTGCATTTTGTCTAAATTTTAGTCCTATTTAGAACAATGAGGAGTGATCCTGTCCAGCAAATTTCTGTCCGAACAGTGTCCGAACATGGTCATTTGGGGCACTTCCCGGTGGAATGTTGTGATGAAATTTTTTGAGCATGTTCCTCATCAAGTCTAGTTTGTCCATACCAAATTTCAGCTCAAAATTCGATCGGGAAGGCATTCAAATAATTTGTTGAAGTTGACTGCGTCACAATATACATATAAAAAACGCAGTCAACTTCAAAAAATGATTTAAATGCCTTTCCGGTCGAGTTTTGAGCTGAAATTTGGTATGGACAAACTAGACTTGATGAGGAACATGCTCAAAAAAATTCATCAAAAAATTCCAGCGGGAAGGGCCCCAAATGGCCATGTTCGGACGAAGGCTCCTGTCCGAACGTGGGGACCTGAACATTTCCGTTAGAACAATTTCTAGTCAAAGTTGTGGTCATGATTTTCCTCAATAAATGATAGGAAAAGACAACGATACAGAAGATGTATGATGAAGGTTTCAAAAAATGAAAACTTATAGAGTAATTGTGATAAAAGTGATATTTTGTATTTGAATAATGTTATGAATTTTATGTTTTAAACTTTTATTATATGTTCTTGTTTCAATCTCTAATGACTTTATTAATAAGGTGCCCCAATGAGTATATTTCCTTGATCCGCCCCGAATTATTAGAAGATATGGGGGAAAACTTTGATCGTTAATGTAGTATGTACTATGTAGGGGCGATTGCAAATGTTTGCGTTTGTAGCACTTTGAGAATGATTTGTTTTAGGTGAGATGTTTGTACTTGAACTAAAATTTTCTGATCTGGTCTATACTGAGCTGGTCTGATAAATATCTTGTCTCCGTTATTTTATAACTATCCAAATCTGATCTGGTCTGAGATTGAAAATAATCCAAATAAAAACATCGTTGGTAGTGTTGGTATTATTTTTTAAAGGTAAAACAGTCAAATAAGCTCTCCTACTATGTACGGAAAGTCAATTAAGTCCATGTACTTTGAAAACACCCAATTTAACCCTCGAACTCTAAAAAAAACCGCTCAATTGAGCCCTTTTAACCGGTTACCATCATGTTCCCGGTTGACGAGCCACGCGGCGGCACACATGGCACTTTCTCTTTCGTTTTACCTTTAATTTTCTCTTTTCTTTTTCTATTTCTTTTCTTTCTTCCTCAAGAATTGTACGCCTCCAACACCTTTCGTTTCTTCGTTCTTTCTTGTACCCAGACCACTCCCATTCGTCGGAGCAACTTCACCCTGGTCAGGCAACAACCAAGGGGCAACTTCGTCGGGAATTGAGCAGAGACGAAGGCCACTGCCGCCGTCTACACTATTGGAGTCATCCTCAGTGTCGTCGGGATCTTGTCGCAACCGGAATTTACCCGGCAAAAGAAGAAAAGAACAGACGAAAAGAGTTATTCCGGTCGAGCAGTGCATATGTCGTCGCTGTCTATCGTACCCACAGCCGCTCCGATGTACGATGAGTTCACCATTGTCGCCCCTCTCAAAGTCTCCGTCTGAATAGAGAAGAAGAGGTGTGAAAATCCGCCGGAGTGTAACCATCAACGTTGCCGTCCTCCATTTACCCTCGTCTTCCACCAGTTAATTGCATACAATTTCTGAGAGAGGAGACCACAAAGAGAAAGAACAGGGGCAGTTGGAGCCCTAAAGAAAAAAGAGGGGAAATGAAGTTGCGAAGAAAGAGACGAGGGAGAAAGAGGAAAGGAAAAAGGAAAGAGAAAAATAAGAGGAAAAAGAAAAATGAAAAGCCATGTGTGCCGCCACGTGGTCGGCCAACCGGGAAACGGGATGGTAACCGGGTAAAAGGGCTCAATTGAGCGGTTTTTTAGAGTTCGAGGGTTAAATTGAGTGTTTTCAAAGCACATGAACTTAATTGACTTTCCGTACATAGTAGGAGGGTTTATTTGACAGTTTTCCCTTTTTTTTTAAAAGAATAAAACCCTCTTTAAGGTGGTGGTCTCATGAAATGAAAAGGAAATAATGGAGATGTAACATACTCCTTCCGTCCCAAATTGATTTGCAAAGTCAACATTTTTTGGTCAACCAATAATGAAAGTCAATGTTCCGTGTCGATAATTGATTTAATTTTTAATAATTAAAATTTATATATTCAGAAACTACATTAAAATCTCTTCAGAGTTGTAAACTCCAAATTAGAATATAATTAAAAATTGACGTCCTAATTAAGCGAATAAAATGAAAATGCTTATTCGCTTTGTCTTTTATGATGCTAAATGATATGCATAAAGTCTACATCTCACGGGAAAGTATATGGATTCTCATTAGATTTCACAACAAAAAGAAGCATCAAGTTACATTTGAAAAAAAGATTCTCGAGCATGCAAAAGAGTCACTAAAATAATAGACTATGCATGATAATAAAATACATAGACAAATGATCACCTCAGGTACTTTTGACGAGAAGCCCTGTCTGAACTTACCAAATTTGATGATGTCTTTTTAGCATGTTTTTCATTAATTCTAGTTTGTCCACAAAACAATTTAACTAAAAATTAAATCGGGAAGGGAATCAAATAGTTTTTGGAAGATAACTGCGCGAAAATATACATATAAAAACACAGTTATCTTCCAAAATTTATTTGACTGCCTTCACGGTTGAATTTTTAGCTGAAATTTTTGTATGGATAAACTAGACTTGATGAAGAACATGCCAAAAATATTTCATCAAAACTACTTGAGGTGATCTTTTCCGAGAATACATATATCTAGAGTTCATTTTATGACACCAAATTAATTGAATCGATTGAATGTACTGAAGTAGATGAAATCTAACTAAAATACTTAATATGCAGAATCATGAAAAATGTATATTTAAAATATATTACATAGTATGTTAATAAATATAAAAAATTATAGGGAAAAGAAGCAAATAAGCCCTCGAACTAATAAAAAAAAGTGCAAATCACCCCATATATAGGAACTTCTGTCCGGCCGTCGCCATTTGGGGCGGTTCCCGATGGAATTTTTTGATGAAATTTATTGATCATCTTCTTCATTAAGTCTAGTTTACCCATACCAAATTTCAGCTAAAAATAAAACCGGGAAGGTAGTCAAATGATTTTCTGAAATATACCACGCTCTTTAACTGAGCAGTTATCTTCAAAAGTTCATTTGACTGCCTTCCCGATTGAATTTTTATCTGAAATTTGGTATGTGTAAACTAGATTTAATGAAGAAGATTCTAAAAAAAATCATCAAAAAATTCCACCGGGATCCTTCCCAAACGACGACGGCCGGACATAGCCTCCTATATAAGGGGTGATTTGCACTTTTTTGATTAGTTCGAGGGCTTATTTGCTCCTCCCAAAATTATATGAAGAATAGCTACAATAATCATGTTCAACAATTCAGTCAATTCTGTTAAAAAAAGTAATCCAACTTGTAGATTTGTACTCCATCCGTCACTTGTAACTTTGTCATCTTACTTTTTTGGGATGTTCTAAACTTTGTCACTTTACCTTCTAATCAATGAATTTGTGGTTGTTATTTCTCTCTTCTCTGCAACATCTCAACCACACAGTTTTTACTTTATTAAATCTTGTGCTAGTCAAATATGACAAAGTATTGAGGGACGGAGGGAGTATATCTTGGAAAAATTTCACTGGCAATGCTTCTTATTTGAAAGAGTCATGCAATACAGCAATAGGTATCCCATTTTTACCTCACTCCTTGTGTGGTCCAAATGAGACCACATATAAAAGTGTTGCCCCACTTAAATGTATTGCCCCATTTGTGGCCAGACATAGATGGGGGTAAAAATGGATACCCAAAATGGGGTACTTTTAACATTTCTCTATTTGAATAAGTAGTAAAAGATTTTTTGGATCCCTAGAAATTGTAGATTTTTTAAGTGGAGAATTGGATCCTTGGCGTTTATAGCAAACATTTGTCAGTCTCTTGATAAATGAATGAGAAAGTGTCAGGTTATATCACTAAGTTTGCCTGTTACTTGAGTAAATTGAGATTTGTTCTTCCATAGAATATTGTTATTAATATATCAAAGATACCCCCTTATCTGATAATGGTGAAAACGAATAAAGTGTTCTGGCTTGAAAGTGCCAATGGTGATATCTCTATATTCTTCTTGTATCAAAGCCAATCTCACCAGAATATGAATAGGCCCCCGCAATTCTCATGATATGTGTTTTCGGAACACTTTACCCATTCCTTCGGGCTCTAATCACTTTACCCACGGTGTACAAAGCAGCCGTGGTTGAAAACAGCATCTCAGACCCGGATTCAGGAACTAATGGTGAAAACGAGTAAAGTATTCTGGCGTGCTGTTAAAGTGGGTGATAATCCACAATCCATCTCAATCCTCAGGGAAGAAGTCAGAAGAAGCCAGGGCGTCAAAAGCGATCACCCCAATTTGTTGGGAATCCTGCCGCCCATATTCACCGCTTCTCATGATTATGGGCATGGAGGAACAAAAGAGGGTCTGTGACTATGGGCATGCTCTGCGAAGCCTTCGCTGTCGTCCCGATGCATGACTATGGGCATGGCTCTGTGAGGAACATCAAGAGAACAAGCGGCAGCGGGTTTCAGGGCCGGAAGGATCTCATTCTCTGTGTGCTCAGATCAATTCTCAAGGCTCTCCGCTTCCTTCATAAGCGGCGCATTCCGCACGGAGATATCAGCGCTGGCCACATTTATCTCATAACCCCGTTCCGCATCATCCCTGCGCGTTACTACTCTCTTCTCGTGTTGGGTTTTGCTGCCAGCCTCAACCACGACCGAGAGGAACCCCCCCCCCCCCCATCTCTCAGTGGGCTGCTGCACCAGAAATCGCCTCCCATAGTAATAATGGTGATGAGCCGTGGAAGTCATCTCCGGCAGCTGACATTTGGCAGGTGGGAATCACGGCCTTGGAATTGGCCTACAGCGCCAGCGGCCTCCAGCTCCCAGACCGGAATGCTTTGGAGGCCATGGTTAAGGACATGCTTCGCAACAACAAACTCCCGGTGGCGCCTGCTGCAACAATTCATGAAACATCAAAACAAGCCACCAAAACATCGGAGCCCAAAAATTTGTTGACACTGCATCAATTCCTTCGGATCACTTTAAAATCTCTCTCGAACCCGCATCAATTCAAGGCCTGGGTAGAGAATCCATATGACCACTGCATTACAACCCTCTTCTCCAACAATGGTGGAGTATACAAAGCCTCTTTTTTCTCTCTTCTGCTGGTATATTACCCCTCACACTCAATAGCACAATAGAGTTCTGAAAGAAACCTCTCATCATAGAAACTCATGTAGGTTTCTCCTTCATGGCAGCCTCCATCCCTCTTTCCAACTGTCTCAGTTCCTCATCCAACCCTCTGACTCTATTTTCTCAAGCCATTGCTCCATCATATTAGTTGGCGAGTTCATATCCGATTTTGTCGATGCAACACGCTTGTTGTGCTCCTCGAGGCAACAATGGGATCAGTGACGAAATACACTGAGAGTTCAATCACTACATAACGAAAAGTGGCTCCTGTTAATTAGCAAAAGCTAAAAACAGCAGTCACTCCGGTCAAAAAAATAGCAAACGCAGAGTGAAAGACAGCACACTTGAGCAATAACACTCATTTCAAAGATTTGGTTTCATAAAGGAATTGAAGGGCTAAGTAATACAAACAAGTAAAAAATAATACAGGCATATGATCTCTTTGTTGAATTGCTATGCTTACATCCATAACAGGGCTGAGCTGTGTTATATAACATTAGAGGCAACAGCATGAGCCCAGAACTTAAGATGATTTTTCATTTCCATTTCATTGCCAAAAGCAGATGGAATTCTCCAACTCCCTATTTGACTCTGACTACTACTATTATTATCATTATCCCTCTTTTGTTCTTCCATAGCATCCCATGCTTCTGAAAGGTAAGGCCTTGAAACATCTGCTGCAATCATTCCACCATATTCAGAAACCCCCCTCTTTTGCAGTCCAGGGATGATTGAAACCAGCAGATCAGAATCTCTATCCTCATCCGAGAACACAAACCCTAGATCCATAAACCCTTTTACTTCCTTAAACTCAAGATCTGATAAGCTCTTACTGTTCCTTTTAACACTATCCTTCCTTCTCATCCTCCTGCGGCTACTCTTAATGCTCCTGAAGCTCACATCATCACCGCTGCTACTGTTAGCGATGCTCGTCTGATCGGAGAATTCCTTGCCGGAAAGAATGGGTTGGAGCTGAGGCCTGGGCTCGAGAAGAACGGACTCGGGAGAGGGTTCTTCTGCATCCATGGAGGGGTTTTCGGAGCTCAAACATTTGTCACTGAAAGGTCCAGAAATAAAAGTTGTGGGGGCTCTGGAAAGCTCATTGTTGGGATTTACTGTGTCTTCCTGGGTCTTGGATGATAATGTTGTGGCTGGATTTTTTGAAGTGAGAATCTCGTATTCGAACCAGAAAGAATCGAAGAGGGTAAGCAGTGTAGTGAGAGGATGTTCATGTTCAGCTCCCATTTTTGTTTAGACGAGAGGACGAAGAAGAAAAGGTTCCGCACTGAGAAGAAGATTGGTAGAAACAAGAAAAAAGTCAAAAGACTGTGTTGGTGAGGACCGTGATTATGTGGTAGACCCCCTCTCCCCCATCTTGTTTGATTCCCTCAATGAGTTTGTTTGATTGATACTCCCTATCTTTTTAAACTTCAATGTTTGACTTCATAGTTATTAAGGAAATAAAGTTGACTTTACTGTAGAATATATTATTGAGACACTGTTTGGCACTGTTGAGACACTGTTTGGCACTGCTGGGACACTTTTTGGCACTGTTTAGCACTGTTTTGATGTAGGTTTCTTTGCCAAATAAGGAAATAAGGAAATGTGAAATTTATTTTGGACCGTCCCAAAAATAAAAGTGTGAAATTTATTTAGAACCGGAGGGAGTATTAAACTTGGGATTGGTTTGATTCCTACACAAAATAGATGAAACGGCTTGAATTACAAAATTTTACAAATCACCATGAAATTTATGCGATTGTGCCAAAATAACATTCAACGTTTGAATTACAAGAAATACAAATATGTCTATCATCATTCAAACCTCAAAAGTTGAGTTTATAACATAAATACATACTAAACCAAAAATTTTAGTAATAAAACAAATTAAAATATTCACTACAATCAATAATTATGATCTAGAATTAACAGCGTAATTAGCTAGCAAAAAAGTTCATTATCTCAAAGAGTCACAAGTAGAGCACTCATTTCCAATCACTTGGACCTCTAATGAGAAACCCGTTAAAATAAATAATATTATTAAACACTTAAATAACTAAACTAAAAGAATCAATGTAATATAAAAATAACTAAGTAAATATACATTAAAATATATATACTAATAAATAATATATAAAATTTTAATTATTATATATAACGATTCCTTAACAGTTTCAGGTATTTGTTTTCCCAGAAATCGAGAACCAAACCGTTAATAAGAAATATGAACCAAACCATCAACAAGTAACTAGTAAATGTTGGAACCGAAATGAACTAGCTCATAATGGTCATGTCCAGTTTGGTTCTCCGGTTCTTGGTTCCAAGGCCCCAACCCGAATTGATAGCGAGTACTCACTACTCCATCCCTAACATTATATCTTCTCACTTTTCTTTTTAAACCGTTACATTTATATCTTCTTATTTTTAAATCTTACTATTATACCCTCAATAATTATGAAAAAAATACACTATTACAATTAATTTTTTTGGATTATTCTTTATTCCGACACACTATTTCTATCTTCTAATCATACTCTCAATAATTTATATCTCATTTCACTACTTTTAAATGAGAATACATAAATGTTGCAGAGGTAGTATTAAATAGATAAAATAAGAATAAAATATAAATAATTTATAATTACACAAACACTACCAATTTCTCAATATAAAGAAGCAAAAAATATAAAGAAGCAAAAAATTTCAACTTTCATATTGAATTTTCACCAATAGATAGAGATCGTATAACATAAAAACATACTTGTATGACGCATCAAATGGAAATTTCACTGCCCAGACATTTCTTAACAATCCCTTAAATCTATGTTGTGCTTTTAGTGCTTCTAGAAAAGACAGAAGAACCATTTTAAATGTGAGAAAAATAAGAAAACATACCACCATAAACACAATCTTGTACCACCTACAAGAATTGGAACAGACCATGTCAATGACATCTTTAGTACACTTTTTACTTATTCTGGTGCACAAGTAAATACTGCCTCCGTTCTTAAATAGTTAAAACATCAAAATTTTTATGCAATTCACGTGTTCTACTTTAACTATATTTTATTCACGAATACATTAAAACTTTATTTTCTTATAAAATATAATTAAATTGTTCCCACTATACATTTTCAAAATGTTAGGGCATGTTTACTAACAGAGATATTTTCCAGTATTCCAGAAAACTGACTGGAAAACAGAAAACAGGAAACATGTCTACCAAAGAAATTCCTGGAAAACTGGAGAAAGGAAAAAAGAAAATCGCGTTTACCAAATCGTTTTCCAAAACGGAAAAAATGAGACATGTCTCTCTTTTCCTTAATGATTTGGAGAAGTGACTTTTACTAGTTTTCCAAATTTGGAAAACGCAGATGCTACAGTGCCGCCGCAATGAATTTGCATACTTACACCTAGTGGTGGGTCCAGTCCCGCTCCGAAGTCGATTCCATTCCGGTAACTCTATCCTCGTACCTTACCCCTTACCCCTACCCTACCCTACCCACCCAACCCCACCCGCATACCCATTTTTCCCTATAATGACCCTACCCCACCCCGATCCACCCTACCCTACCGCCACCCCCCTACCACCTCGACCCCACCCCGACCCACCCTACCCTACCCCCACCCGTATATTACCCCTTACAACATGCCCCTACATCGGCCCCACCCCACCGCCATCCTACCCCCACCCTCGTACCGCCATCCTACACCCACCCTTCCGCCATCCTACCACCATCCTACCCCCCACCCTACCCTTCCCCTACCTCGGCCCCACCCCGACCCACCCTACCCTACCCCCACCCGTATATTACCCCTCACCCCTTACCATATGCCCTACCTCGGCCCCACCCCACCACCATCCTACCTCCACCCTCGTACCTCCATCCTACCCCCACCCTTCCACCATCCGACCGACATCCTACCCCCCACCCTACCCTTCCCCTACCTCGGCCCCACCCAGATCCCGGGCCCTATCGCCATCCTATCCCACTACACCTACCTTACCCCAACCCTACCCACTACCCCCACCCTTACCGCCATCTTACCTCCCACCCCCTACCCCTTCCCTACCTCAGCCCCACCCTGGTCCCCGGCCCCACCCTACCGCCATCCTATCCAGTCTCCATACCCTACCTCTACCTTACCCCAAACCCTACCCACTACCCCACCCTTACCCCTAACCACGACCCTAACCCACCCACTACGTACCCCCACCCACCCCCTACCCCTAGACCTTACCACCCCACCCCGACCATACCCCTTACCCCACCCCCACCCATAACTTCCCTACCCTGACCCCTACGAGTAGGTATGGGTGGGTATGAAGGGTTGTGGGGGAGTATGGGTAGAGTGTTAGATCGTGGTAAGGGTAGGGGTCAAGGGTGTGGAATTGGAGAACTGAATGAAAAAATTGATGAACATGTTTTCATATTTGAAAATGGAAAACTAAAAAATAGAAACAGTAAATTGGAGATAGAAAAACTGAAAAATAAAAACAGAAAATTGGAGAACGAAAAACAGAAGTAGAAAACAGAAAAATATCTCTGTTAGTAAACAGACCCTTATTTTTTATAAATAATATAATCAGGGAATTAAAATATTATTTAGGAATACACAAACATTTTTAGTCTTATTTAAAACAATTTTCCGAATAGTGTAATCTGTTTTTTTTTTTTGGCAAATCGAGTAATTTGTATTAAAAAGTAAGAATGTAAAACACATTCTATAAAAATTTAAAGAGTATGGTTTAAGCAACATCATGTCAAACAGTGATTCAATTGAACAAAATTAGTAGGCATGGGGCATATGTCTAATTATAGGGGTGGGCAATTCGGTTTACGGTTCGGTTTTCTTCGGTTTTGGTTCGGTTTCGGTTTATTCGGGTTGGGAGAATTTGTACCAAACTAAAACCATTTGTGTTTCGGTTCGGTTTTGGTTCGGTTCCGGTTCGATTCGGTTTGAAGTTCGGTTTACCAAAGTAAAAAATATCATGTTTAATTTAGTTTGATTTGATACGTTTGCTTGTGTTTATTATTTTATTTGATCAAGTTCTATATTTCGAATTAGAAAATGAAAGTAGTAGTCCATCTAATTTTGTTTTAATTTATTGATTATTTAAATAAAATGTAAAAGAAAATAAAAGATAGAAAAATAAATAATAAAATATTATAAGTTGAAACTTCTAACATCTTTTTTATCACTACAAAAAATTCACTTCTCACAAAAAATAAGATAGTTGATTAGCATTTATAATATCACGTAAAATATTCATAAAACCTAAAAGAGTCGGTGGTACAAATGTTGTAATATTCACAATTTTATTCAAATGAATCATGTAAAAATATAAATGCAATTTGCTAGTGTTATCGCCAAACATAATAAATACAAATATGTCGTATTAGCTAACTTTGTTACAATGAATGTATGAAATATGTAAAAGTTAAAATGAAGAGTCATGAAGGTAAATACAAAGTGTGTGTGTGTGTTGTTCGGTTCGGTTTACGGTTTTCCGTTTTAACCAAACGAAACCAAAGTACCAAAACATTCGGTTTGAGCAAATGTTTACCGAACAATTTACTTAAGTAAACCTAAACCAAACCAAATCAAACCACCAATTTTAATAATATATGAAAGTTTTTTGAGTTTCTTTAGTTCGGTTCGATTTTGTTCGGTTTGACCATGTTTTGCTCCTAGGTCATTCACTCTAGCTTATTGAATTAAGAGTATACATGTATTGTATAGTTCTATTTAAGGAATATAAAACATATGGAGTATATCTAGGAAATTTAACCATATATTCCGTTTAAATCATGTTTAGGACAATTTTTCCAATTTTTTTACCCTAATCCTGTTAACATTAATATATCTTCAGGTGGAAGTAATTCCATTCAAATGACAATGCAATGATGGAAGTGGTACGTATATGTTGATGTCATAAATAAATAACGTAACTTCGCGTCAAAGTCATTCCATCTAACACAAATGTATATATGTGGCCTTGTCCGCAAGCATATATATTGTTATTTCGTATATTTAGTTTGTTGTATCTTACAAATAATAATATTCCGTACATCAATATATACTTGATCATCGATCAATAGATTATATTAGCTCACTTTTTGAACGTGTTCTAGCTAGCTAGCTTGTATGTTTTTTCATTGACGAAATTATTGAATTCTTTTAATTTCCTTGAAGCTAAGGAGATCGAGAAAAATACATACTTATCTAGTTACTACGTACGAACGACAATTATGGAGACAAAGATTCTAAGCCGTACGAAAGTCTTCACCCTCGTGTTCTTATTCATCACTGCCATGTTTACGGTGGCGTTGGCAAAGAGTTCTTCCTCCTC